ATCAAGCAGGAGAAAGCTTGTATGCCACATGTGAGAGTAATGGGTCTGTGGAGGGTCAGGTGTTGCACCATAATAAAAAAAATCCTGGAGCACTGCAGTGCATAATGAGAAAAAAAAACTCCCGACCTGTTTTTTTAATTAAAAATGCCGACTTGGTGGTCTATTTTCGTTAGAATTAATGGTTGTATTCTCGTTTTCCTTGGTCACATTTGGATAGAATGGACAACATCTTACAGAAATAAGAGGTGATTTGATTGAATTACTATAAAAAGAACTAGAAATGGAGCTTCAAAGTAGGGGAAATGTGTGATTTTTCCAATGTTCCAAAAGTAAACAATGATTGGCCATTGTCCAATAACTGTCCAACTAGCCATTCTAATATTGCAGTCATGAAAAGGTATTGATTGTAAATTATAGAGTTATTACAGCATTGCAGTAGTCTTCATAATAGTAAGGTCTTAATAATTTTTGTTTGAATAAAAATTCAAAATAGAAAGCGCAAGAGTAATATCAGAAGGGCCTGGAGATGTGGACTGATGAACAAAGAAAATGTTATTTTAGAGCCAGGAATGTCTGCGTCGGTTCATTCTGACCCTTGGTATTTTTGAAATTATCCATATTTTTTAAGTTTCGTAAATTGGCCAAATTGTGCAAATTTTTCCTGACCACAATATTAGGGTAGTTTAATGAGTAGAATGGTCAGGTATTTCTTCTTGTATTCCAATCGATAGAAAAATGAAGTTCTAAAGAAATAGGCGATGTAGTTTCGGCGACATGACACTGGAATTAGCCGAAAATAGGCTCAAAGTGGGCTAAATCGCCGATTTGTAAACAGCGCCGAGGTCGCAAACTCGCGAGGAGCATAATACCGTCAGTTTACCATCAAATTTCGTTTTTTTGGTGTCATCCAATCGGGAAAAGATTCTCTATCTTTACATAAGAAAAAATAATATTTTTTTTTAAAATAAAAAATTTTGCGACACCATGGAGACACCTCAGGATTGGGGGTTTGCACAGTCCAAAGGTTTAAGTGAAACAAAGCAGACAGGGGTGAGAGAAGTTTCTGTGGAGAGGAAATAGAAGTGGATTAATTCAGGGGTTTCAAACAGAGTAGAGCTAAAGAAGGAGTAAGCAAATATGTTTAAGGATAAGAGGACTGAAAAATATATATAATTCAAGATTAGGGAGTAAAATAAATGGTTGATGTGAAAAGCGGGTTATAGTAAGTGTAATATGCACTGAGAAGATAGATAGATTTTGGGAAATGTTGAGTGAAATGTGTGGGGAGTTTTGAACCGACAGTGTGAGAGACTTGTGGATGGGTAATTTCAATGCTAAAGCGGTAAAAATGTTGAGGAGGTGAGAGTAGTAAGTAAATTTGGGGTGCCAGGGGTAAATGTAAATGGGGCGCCTTTAATTGAGCTATGTGGAGGAGGAGGAGGGAGGAGGAGGAGGAGGAATTGAGGAGGGAGGAGTAGGAGGAGGAGGAGGAGGAGTAGGAGGAGGGAGGAGGAGGAGGAGGGAGGAGGAGGAGAGGAGGAGGAAGGAGGAGTAAGGAGGAGGATTAGGAGAGGAGGAGGAGGAGGAGGAGGGGAGAGGAGGAGGGAGGGGAGGAGGAGGAGGAGTGAGGATGAGGAAGGGATGAGAGGATGGAGGATGAGGAGGAGGATGCGGAGGTAGGAGGGAGGAGGAGGAGGAGTAGTAGGGAGAGGAGGATGAGTAGTAAGTAGGAGGAGAGGGAGGAGGAGGAAGGAGAGGAGAGGATGAGGAGGAGGAGGAAGGAGGAGGGGGGGGGGAAAGGGGGGGGGGGGGGGGGGGGGGGGGGGGGAGAGGGTAGGAGGAGGTCAGGATGATTGTCGTAGTAGTCGTGAGGATTCAGGAGGATGAGGAGGGAGGAGAGGGAGTTATGAGTGATTAGAGGATGAGGCTTCTTCTGCTTCTTCTTTCGTCTTCTGTCTTTTATTCGTCTTCATCTCTTCGTCTAGACGTTCTTCTTGCTTTCTTCTTCGTTCTCTTCTTCTTCTGCGTCTGCTTGTTTCTTCGTCTTCTTCTTCTCTTCTTCTTTCTTCGTGTTTGTGTTTATGCCCCCCCACCTCCCGCCCCTCCCGACGCCAATCATCCATTACCACCACTCCTAAAACAGTCCTACACCTAGCCACACACTTATACACACACAACAATCCCCCGCCTCCCGCCGGTTACGTCCGTCCAGCCTTCCCTCCACTCATCCTCCCCCGTTTTTGTCAGTACCACCTACCGGACTGTCCTATATCCGGTAAAGTAGCAAGAGAGTTTGGAAAGCCCACCAGTTATCCACCAGGTCGGAAAGGAAAGAAGAAAATAGAAGGAATGCATTAAGACCCATACCCGACCCTATCCCTAGGCAAACAACCCACCCAACTGCCTGCTAAAACTTAGAAGAAAACTGCTCAGACCGAGGTATATATGTCCTTGCACATAAAAAAAAACTTCACAAAAAGGCACCCACACTGATTTTATGTGTTGAGTAGTGAAAAACACCATTGTTATGACACCAAGTATTATAGTGTAGGAGTGGTAAAACCCCACTTGTATGACACCAATTTTTCCAAAGAGTTCCACAGCTGCAGAACTTGATGGATTATGTTTCAGTGACTGTATATTTGGTAACCATAAATTAAAGAACAATAGTACTAAAAATTTTATTTGTATGTGTTTGTTATATGTAAAAAAGTTTGTAAACAATAAATATGCTAATTATTTTAGAGTGCTTATTGTGGTTTGTATACAAAGAGTGTATATATGTACATTAGCATCCTAACTTTGGTTCCTCACAGCCACCTAAAGTTATATAAAAAATAAAATATTGACAAAAACAACAAACCTTCAATCCACGTAAACCTAAAAGTTTACCAGTCCGCTGCCTGTTTGCAAACGCCGCTCATTTTCTGCAAACCTCATGCCTCTAATCTGGGCAAGATACTGATGGGAAAATTTTTTTTGGGTTTTGGGGGACTAAAACAATCATAAAAATAACTAACAAGTTTCATAAGAAAATTTTTTTTTTTTTTTTTTTCGAATATTTTAGTGACACGAGAGACAACTTCAGATTGGCCTTTCGACAGTCCAAGGGTTTTAAGAGTGAGGAAAATCCGATGTAATATAAAGAGTGTGAGTGAAGCAGTGAGAAGAATGAAAGGGGTAAAGCAACTTGACTAATGATCAAGACAGAATGTTCAAGCAGGAAGGGATATAGTTTAGGAGTGGCTTGCATTTTGCTCAATAAAAGTGTGAAAGGGGGAAATACCTAGGGAATTGGCAGTATGGCATAGTTTTCCTTATTGTATAGAGTATAAGAGGATCAAAATAGAGTGTAATAACTATAAGGGAATAAGCCTGTTAAGTATATAAAGTAGAATTATTATTGAAAGAATTAAAGGGTTAGACCCAGAGCAATCACAAAAACAAGTTTTTTGGAAGAGTGAGAAAGTGGGTGTGTGACAGAAAATTCTATTACATTTCCTAATTTTTTATCTTATACAGTATTTACCAGAACATATTTTATCCACTTAAATATGAAAAAAATCATGGCCCTACTATTATTGTTGAGGAATGTAATCATTTGGATCTTAAACGTTCAGGCCAGCATATGACAGCAATGACTGAACGAAGTTCTTCATTTCACCTTTTCAAGTTCAAAAGTTTTTTTGGTGGGCCGACAGAAAATCTGATATCGCCCCCTAGTCAGAGAGATACAACATCTGGTTGAAATTCTGTGATCTTCACTAGTGATTATCATGGCAAAATGCGAAGTAACCTGTAATACTGTGTCTGTCAACCATGGTACAGTATATGTTTCAAGTATGCTCAGACAACACCATTTCTCATCACCATCTTAATACAGTGGAACCTCAAAATTCGAAAGTAACACCATATCAAACACTTTAAAAAATAGAACCCTTTTTTGAACCAACTTGGGTCCTATTATCGAATGTTGCCTCCAATTTTTGGACTACGGGGGGAGGGTGGCGCCGGGTACTGGACCTGTCCACTGGCAGCCCGCTCTTGTCAGCAACCTCGTGCAGGCACTGTGAGCCAGTCTGGCTCTGTAAGCTTGAGTGAACACTAAACCTGTGCTCTCATTCAAGCATTTAACGATTAAATTCATTGTTTAAGTGCTTTGGACTGTAAAGTAAGTTACCATGGAGGCCCTAAGAAATCTTGCTGAGTGTGGTACCCTATGTGGGTAAAGAAAGTGATGAGACACCAAAGATGTAGAAGAAGTAAATAATACAGAAGTGGAATGATGTCCAAAACGTTTGTGAAAGTACCACCCTGACAAGCTGAAACAAACCTTCTTTGCACAAGATCCATGACAGAACCATGTCCCATTTTAGGAAATGTTTAAGAGGTGCCAGAGAACAGAGGTCTGTGGACAGTTTCTTCTGTGGCGAGACAGGGGTCCAGATGACTCACAAGCTGGTCTAGAGGCATTAAAAGACAGATTGAGGGGAAGTTACCCCAGAGAGGATTTTACCTAAGTCCCTCATGGAGGGGGAATCTCCTTCTCAACACAAACCCCAACTCCCTCTCTCCTTTCCCTATCTTCCAGATCAACACCAACTTCAATAAAGGTAAGTAAAAAGTTATTTTATAATTAGACACATAATTGAACAACTATAGTAATTTGTTTGTTGTGAATGTAAAACTGAATATAAATCTCTATAAAATGTATTTTTTTTTGTGAATATTTTATGGGTTCCCTGGAACAGATAATGTATTTCCAGTTATTTCTTAATGGGAAATACTGCTTCGATTTTTCCAGACTTTTTTCGAATTTAGAACTAGCTCAATGAAACGGATAAGTTCGAAAATTGAGGTTCCACTGTATTCCACATAATGGCAAGCATGATCAAACAAACTGCAAAGAAGCTTAATTTATTCAGGACACAGATCAAACAATCATAGATCAACAACATGCTACAAACGGGGCCAATGTACAAATTATTTTAGCGTGTTACCTGAAAAATACTTCTATCAACACATCGATAGAGTATAAACAAACACATGAGGGTACGTCTGACTGTTGATACCACATGCCGTGTAAGTCTGCTGGGAAACATGCCTACACGTGACAACCTTCTTCTGCTTCCCCGTGAATATTAGCAACTCTTCACTGTATGCAGATCTGAAAAAAAAAAAAAGAAGTTGTTGTAGGTGGTTAGCCATTTAGAGAAGGATCAAAGTCGAATTAACATGGAGAGTGTATAAATCTGGAAGGGGAAAGGAAAGGCAGGGTAGGTCGTCCTAGAAAAGGTTGAAGTGAGGAGTTAAAGATGCTAGTGGGCTAGGGGCTTGGACTTTCAGCAAAGCATGCATGTAGCGTGGTAATAGGAGTGAATGAGACGAATGGGTTTTTTTGGGGACATGACGAGCTTTTGGAGCAATGAGCAGAGTCTAATATTTAGTGAAGTATACAATGGAATCCCGTTATTTTTTATATAGCTGACTTAAGTTCTCGTAAATGGAATTACAATTGCTGCATTTTAAAGGAGGAGGGTTTGGGATATTGGCAGTTTGTGGGATATGTAATAGGAAGGGATATAGTATGTAATTGGGGCCCTGATATTGTAATTATTCAAGGTCACTTTTTATATGTATCTTCATATATGCTCTAAACTGTTGTATCTGGGAGCCTCTGCACATACAGTGATTATGTAATGAGGTTGAAATTGTTGAATGAAGATGAAAGTATTTTTCATTTTGGGATTTTCTTCTTTTTGTCCACCCTGCTAAATTCTGAAAGCAGAATGTTTTCCCAACTTAAATGCATTTGTTTTGTTATAAGAGTGGTAATTACAAAATAAATGGCACCTTTGTAAGGTGATCTCTGACTGTTAAGAATTAATGAAAGGTTCAGATATCAGACTATCCATAGAGGTAATGAGTTCAAGACCAGTTGTCCTTACCAGGGCCTCCAAGAGAAATTGTGCAAAGTGGAACAAGCCTGCTGGGGCCTCATGGGGGCTGACTGAGGCTCCAGGGAGGATACTTTGTCTGCAAAATTTCTAATAACACTATCAAGATCAAATTTTTCTGGCGATGCCTTGAATTCAATACTCATCTTGATAAATCAATAAACTGGGTTTGAGACATAGTAGATCTTAAAAATTATTTTGATATGTTTGAGTTTACTAAAAGAACTTTCTGCTGAGGTTACCGTAGATGGAAACTGTCAAAAATATTCTTAAACTAACAAAGATTTGGAATGCTCACAAGCTTGTAGTGTGTTAATAAATTTGCAATTAAGTTCTGGTTGCATTATGAACTAATGGCAAGTGTTGCATTTCTGCTGCAAAATCTTCAGCATAACCTTTGACTGTTTCGGGTCATATATATACGTCTCACGAGGTACCCTGTTTGACGTATATATACTCATAATTTCTAGCGACCTTCAAATCAAGCCGGAGAAAGCTGGTAGGCCACATTTGACAGAAATGGGTCCCTGTGTGGTCATATGCACCAGTATAAAAAAAATCCTGGACAAGCATGGCCATAAGGAGAACTCCAACCTATTTTTTTTTAATTACTTTCTGCTGATGTTATTGTAGATGGAACATCTCCATCACTTGCGATCTTTGTTTCGAAAACACAGTTAAACCTTTGGCAAGAACAGCTTCCTTGATTGCCGTTTTCTTGGCCACAATAGAAGAGATGGTTGATTTGGGTTTCTTGTACAACCTGACCAGGTCGGTGATACGCACTCCACTTTCATACTTATCAATGATCTCTTTCTTCATTTCTATAGGAATTCTAACCCTTATTGCTGTAGGGTTGGAACTAGAAGCTTTCTTGGGGCCCATGGTCACTTATTTTCCAGAAACAGCACCGAAAACACTGTAATAATACGAAATATTCCGACTGTATGCTTGAATGTTACCGCGGAGGCTGGCTGGTAAACAATGCCACCGGCGGAACATATGAGGCTGGCTCAGGCCGCACATTGGACGCGTCTCGGACGAAGGCCGCTGAGCGGGTTTTTGGGCGCTATGCGGGGCAAAATTTTAGCGATCAAAGCGTCCGCTATGCGGATTGTCCGTTATGCAAGGCATCCGTTATGCGGGGGTCCACTGTATATGAGTGCCATAAGTAATAAGGCAATTAATAAAAACTGCTTGCTATGAAAGCAGTTTTCATTAATTGCTTTTGAGGTCAGGGTCTGTGCCATAGAACTATGCGATGAGCTCAGCTCATTCAGATAAGCTGCGAACAATAAATTTGGGCCTAGATATGAGAGAATGTGTCTATGCAGCAAGTGTGTATCATTTAAAAAAATCCTGCCCCATGCAGCGCATGATGAAGGAAAAAAAAACTGACTACTGTGCATTTGGTTTTTAAAAAGTGACTTTGTGGTGTACTTTTAGATGTTTTTTTATAGTTTTATTCTCAGTTTCTTGGTATTATTTGATAAAAAGGAAGATATATTACAGAAATAAAGATGATTTTGATTGGTTTCTGGACTAGAAGTAGCTTGAAATTGAGTCAAGGTGTGGAAATGTTTGATTTTTGCCGATATTCCAGAGGACACAAATTACTTCACTCCTCCAATATGCATCCAACTCATCAGTCTAGTACTCATTCTTGAATGTGCTGACATTATTTATACAATTATTACAATAATGCAATAGCCTGCATAACAATAAACCATCTATTTTTTCTATGAAAAAAATTCAAAATGGAAAGCAAGTGTAATATAGGAGGGACCTAGGAGCAAAACTAATTAACAGAGGAAAGGTTGTTTTGGGGCCAGCAATGTCTATAGTATTTATTCTGGACCCTATTTTTTTAAATTGGCAATTTTTTAGTTTTGTGTGAAATTGGCCAAATTACCAATTTCTAATCAATTTATTGGGTATGTGAAATAGTTAAAAAGGTAGTTATTGTACTCAATCAATAGAATGGAAGGAATACTATGAAATAGGTAAGAGTATGGATGACTGGAAAAATGGAATTGGCCTAAAATAGGACTTAAAGTAGGAAAAATTATCAATAGGTAAATACAGTGGACCCCTGCCTTATGAACGCATCGCCTTACATTAAATCCGCCATACGAAACATTTGAAAGCAAAAATTTTGCCTTGCCTCACGATAAAAAACTCACCTTACATGATTCGTCCAGGACGCGTCCCACGTGTGGCCTCAACTGCCCTGTGGGTGCCAGTGTTTACAAGCCAGCCAGTGCGGTCGCATCTAAGCATACATTCGGTACATTTCATATTATCACAGTGTTTTTAGTGTTTGTAACTGCAAATAGGGTCACCATGGGCCCCAAGAAAGCTTCTAGTGCCAACCCTGTGGTAAAAAGGGTGAAAATTACCATGGAAATGAAGAAAGAGATAATTGCTAAGTACGAAAGTGGAGTGTGTGTCTCGGAGCTGGCCAGGTTGTATACCAAACCCCAATCAACCATCGCTACTATCATGGCCAACAAAACGGCAATCAAGGAAGCTGTTCTTGCAAAAGGTGCAAGTTTGTTTTCGAAACAGAGATCGCAAGTGATAGAAGATGTTGAGAGACTGTTATTGGTGTAGATAAACGAAAAACAGATAGTAGGAGATAGCATCTGTGGAGAAATTTTCTCCAGGAGGGGGGGTATCAGCCCCCATCAGCCCCCTTCAGCCCCTTTCAGCCCTGAGGGGCCCAGCCCTCTCAGAAGGGGCAAATATCTTGTTTACTGCTACAGCGAGTAATTGATCCCAGATGCAGTACCAGTATACGACCTGTGGTCAAGCGACCGCCGCTCCTTGCAGTCCAGTGTTGCAGAGTGTATTTTAATAAGAGACAGTACATCTCTTACTGTAGCAGGACAATTAAGGAAAATCCTGCTCCCACTTTATTACCATGGTAGAGATAGTGTATATTGTTGTCTATGCTTAAGACAGCAAGAATCAAACATTCTGCTTTGCTTCATGGAGGAAGTGGCAAGGAAGCAAAAGTACTAGGTCAGCTTTTCCTTTGTGCTGGGGGCAGTGACGGCGTGGGGCGTTGTGGCATCTTCAGATTACTTTTGACTCTACTGAGAGTGACACTGACGCCAGGATAACCAACAAAGAACGATCTGTGCGTTACATTTCCTCTGTTCATTAGTTATGTTTTGAGGCTTTACAAATAAATTCCATTTTGATTTTTTATTCACATAATGAATTTTTATTCACACCAAAAAATAGAAGATTTACTGTTATGCAATACTGTAATAATTGTATAAATATCATCACCATATTTGTGAATGCATATTAGACCCACCAGCTGGCGTGTATTAGACGTGTGAGGTTGTTTGTTTACTCTTGAATACAGTGGACCCCCGCATAACGATTACCTCCGAATGTGACCAATTATGTAAGTGTATTTATGTAAGTGCGTTTGTACGTGTATGTTTGGGGGTCTGAAATGGACTAATCTACTTCACAATATTTCTTATGGGAACAAATTCGGTCAGTACTGGCACCTGAACATACTTCTGGAGTGAAAAAATATCGTTAACCGGGGGTCCACTGTATTGGCAAAAATTTAACATTTCTGCTACTTTGAGCTCAGTTTCAAGCCATTTCCAGTGCTAAAACCAATCAAAATCATCTATATTTCTGTAATATGTCTTCCATTCTATCAAATGAGACCAAGAAATCGCAAATACAACTATAAAAAACATACGAAAAAACACTGCAAAGTCGCTGTTTTAATCGAAAAATCATGATTTCAGTTTTTTCTCTCATTATACACAGTGTGCTGCAAGATCTGTTTTATGTGGTGCACACATACCACATAGATGTATTCTCTCATATCTAGGCCCAAATGTACCACTCACAGTTTATCAGAGTGTGCTGAGCTCATGACGTAGATCTACGGTTTGGACCCTGAACGTAAAGCCGTAGATCTACGGGACGGACCCTGAAAGGGTTAAGAATCATGGTGGCATACATAGTGTGATAAGGCTGCCAGTTCGGACCAAAAAGCAGCTGAATTTTTTTTTTTCAAGAAGTCGGCTGTCTCCCACCGAGGCAGGGTGACCCAAAAAAGAAAGAAAATCCCCGAAAAGAAAACACTTTCATCATCAT